AGATGGGCAAGGCTTGGGGATAGCGTAGCTGTACAGCAGACTCAGCGTGTAGCTGAACGTCTTACTCACCATGGTCGGCTGCCGGAGAAAAGTTGACGGTTAGTGAGTACACTGGACATATGCAGCGCTCAGCAAAGAGGAACCACACAACTACAACAGTTAGACATTCACCCGTGTAACAAATGTAAGTCTCCGACTATAGACCAGTAAAGGAGGCATAACAGCTTAGTGAATGCAGACTCAGTGCATTGTACACAATTCACATAAAACAATTGAGATCGCGCACAATTCACATTTAACGTCCATAGCGATAGGCATCACAAGTTTCTAATAAAAGACACAGTCCTTATGCGCATCAGTAACACCATAAGATAGCAACGGCTCACACGTGACAGCGCACGGCTGCACTGCCTTATGCCGCAGTTAATGCCTGCGCTGTCACATTTACTGCTGTGTAAAATGTAAACAAAAACATCAAGGTGGTCTTCGGCATTCTCTGCTAGTTTCTTCGCTTTCAAAGAAAACAGTCATTATCCACGACTTTTTAAGGCCTGTTCATGAGTCAGAGCGTCAGTCTGAGCGACCATGGCGATCCCAGTGTTGCCAGGTCATCCACGAGGTCTGGGCTCTCGGGCAAAAGGCGACACATCGCGCCCTCTGGAGCAGTTATGCTGTTCCGCTACGCTCGTCAGTAATGCGGGACAGTCTAAAGAGTATGGTGGCCCACGCGACCAATCGCGGCTGCTGGTAACGGTTCCCAGGAGGGGTTGGAGCTTGTGCGTGGTTTCAGGACCATGGGCAGATTCAGAAAAAGTCCGATTTTCCTGCCTCCGATTTAAATGTAAAAAGCAGCTTCGTTGTTGAGTTTGGCTGGATTTGTGAAGTTTAATCAGTTCCCATAAGTGATTTACATCGCACAGCGAAGTAGAAGCGTCTCAAAGTGGCTAAAATGTTCTGAACAACATAGTGGCCTCACGAAGCCTGTTTTTCACCTGTAAAATGTTATAGGCACAACGGTTAATGCTCCGCCCGATATCATCGACCATGCTCTTCCGCAATTCACTTCAATAACGCGGCACAATCCAGCGACGAAAGCGGCTCGCAGGGCGCACGTTAAGTTGTGCCGTTTTTACGGAATGCATGATGAGTGCGGCAGCCGCTAGTCTCGGTGGACAATACAGCGACATATCGAACATTTAAAACAAGGTCTATAGTGTTGCACCGAAAGAACTAATCAAAACACCCTTAGTCCCTCCTGTCAACTGCGATGCCTTCCGGCTACGTTAAAGTTTGATGTTTAGCCCTCGCACTGACCGGGGGAAGGAAAGACAGCAGATAACCACCCTCTCCCAACGAAATTTTTGGGAACATTTGCAAGCTGCAAAACGCATCCTGCTTATCCCCTTATACTTTGAGCGCCTTATTCCACATCACTGGTGAGCCCCGAAGCGCTCCGAAGCGCTCCGAAATTTAGGGCACCGGGTCATGCATTATCAATGGCTGAAATAGGGTTTTGCTACGCCAAGGCAGATTAAATCATGGATCAATATGGCGTTCACTGATAACGCTTTCTGATAGGGCTGAGCTTTTGACTGCTTAGGTTTTCAACATAACGTTTCTATCACTTGATCTTTAAATGTACGGCTGGATGCCATAGTACATTACTGATATACATCGACATTTTCTTCCAACCTTTTGGGAAAATGTCCAATATTTTGCCAGGTATGGATTTTAGTCGCTCTAATACCTGACCGTGACGCATTTTAATCGTCTATTTGCCCAAAAGGTCGTTATAGGTCACCGTTCCGAGTTGGTCGATATCTAAGAACTTTTGTCATATGAACTATCACACCACAACTTGTCAGTTCTCATTTGTCCTCAGACACCCTAGTGGCGCTCCCTCATTTGCATGTAGTAGTTTGACGTGACAGGTCACCATGAGTCACTGACATGGGCTGACCCTGAAATGAAACCAACTCTATGGCTGGTTGACCTAAGTCAAACACAAGCAATAGATGATAATAGATGGGTTGGCACTGTGTCTAATGAGCCCTGTCAGTGCGAGCGTTAAGCACATATTAACCATAGCAAATAATCTGTACTCTAAAACACTGGTCTGTATCTGACAGGGAATTCATATTGCTGCCTATGTCCTGTTTTGCGAGTAGTTTTTCACTTGCAGTGTCATTAATTTTGGCAGAAACCTACATATATTTGTATTCCTGGCTAAAACGCGAAAACCTTCCTCGAAATTGATGGAATTGCCGTGTGTTTGTGCTTTACTGGTGTACTGCGAAGCTTTAAAAATACAAAGATTTCAAGAAATTGATCGTTCAAGACCCAAGAAACAGCCAGAGACCAGCAAAGTGTAAATACCATCTAAGTTTCTCATTGCCAGGCTCAAATGGTCATATCGTGCTTGTTCTACCACTCGGCAAAACTCCTCACAGTGTTTATGTTGGACGCAATAAAATTCGCAGAGTAAAAAATTTAACTAGTTGCTTCTTTGCTTCCCTTTCTCGCAGCCCCGGGTCAGTCTCCGTCAGGTGTAAGATGCCCACTCGTGCAAACAGACTGGTGAAAAAACGAAACCAGACAAATAACCACCTTCGGGAATTCAGTTACGTTCAAGCCCATGTTTAGCAAACATTCATAACTGTCTTACTCAGCAGCATCATGAACGTATAAAGGGTTAGAGCATATTTATGTCATAAATTTTGAGCCAACATGTAGAATTTCAAAGGCTTGCTAGTTTATAGACCAGCCATCGTGAGTAAATTTTAAACATAATGGATAGCGAGCGATATCAAAACTCGTTATTCGCTCGAACTCAGAGTACGGCGTTATCAGCTGTCCAACAATTTAGACCGCAGTTATGTAAGGCCCCAGTCTCAGAAATGACATTATCTCGCCCGGGCTGTAACCACTCTTCTTCGCAGAACCGTTTTGCAGTCCATGACCCTTGCCTTTTAAAGTGAAGTGTATTATCGATAAATCAGCAAATACAGTACAGACCAAGTCTTTTTTTTACATAGCTGTCACCTATGCATGTTAGTCAGGTACAACTTACACGTGGCAGTGTGGTAAGTTCTTGGTAAAAAAGAGGTTGCAACTGGCAATCGGCAGGCTCTTCAATGACTATGATATTTGCCGGGAATGACAGCAAGCACACGTTCAAACCTTTTGATGAAGGCGGGTATTTTAACTGTGCGGCCACGATCCAGCAGTCCACGGTGGCCTTTCACTAATGCGGCACGCGAGCGGAAGGACTGATTCTTCCTCTGCTGTCGGCTGTTGGTCAGCTAGCACTGATAGCACCCCGGCATGAGCGACGTTCAATCGCACTTTATCCGTGCATCAGTGACGCAATATTGCCAGTGCCTTCTCTGTAACCAATCACACGCCAGCAGTTAGTTCGGACCGTAAGCTGACTCGAGGGCAGGTCAAACTGGCGGCATGGAGCGCGCCTGGTATCGAAACAACTGTAGGAGTGACTGATGTAGTACTGTCGTGGCTGACCGCATGGGAGTAATTGTGAAAAACGAAGGACTTCGTGCTGGACATCTCTTTGGGAGGTGCTGGGGGCGGATGCAGGAAAGACGGAGACGAACCCGGGGATGCGAGAAAGGGGGCAGCTACCAAGATATTGTTTTATGATTAGATCGTGATTTCATACCCTATGAATGAAATGAACCTTATGGATGATTACAAGCCTCATTTCCACTTTTCCAAAAATACAGGCATTGCCGCGCAACCTTTTGTATCGTCTAATTGTCTAAGTGACTAACTTGCCTGTCATTTCTATCGCTTGATCGGGCTTTAGAGTGTGGTAGTTAAGTTCAAAACTAGCACCTGACTGGTGCCTGGGTACTTCAAATAGAAGTATTATGGAAGCACCTGGTCGAAAAAAACAGTGGGCAAGGTTGCGCCCCAGACCATCTGTGGCCTCATTGTCATCAATGCGTACCTAAACTGTGGTATCAATCTGGGATTGAGATTATCAACATAAATAAATGACATCAAATTCAACTGGGTTTTGTTTTCTGGCCATCTTCCATGACGCCATCAACGGAGGATCGATTAGTAATAAATCTAAAGGATTACTTGAATCTCAGGAGATATTATAAGATGATCCATGGAACTGAATACATATTTCCATTACATACAATGTCACCGTCTGGTTATCTATATAAGCCCATAGAGATGTCACCAACGTTATTTTTACTTGACCAAAGACGCATGCTGAGAAATATGACGTCAGTACTGCCATCTGGGGCCATACCATTGGTTCTGCCGACTACCACCAGGTGGTACACGATCCTGGCGGAAATTGTGAGACCAGTGCTATACCAGAGTTGTGGGTTATTTACTCTTTTTAGTATCAAAACCGGCGGAAATCGCCATGACTCATCTGTCGAGCCCGTCGGGTCATCCACCCTTACTTCCTCGTTCTCGCTGCATCCTGCATCCCCACACAAATTCGTCTATATAGGGCAAGAGGGCAAGCTACATGCGGAGTCGTCAAGAGTCGGCGGAGAATCCTCAGATGCATGTAGGTTTGCCCTGTCACCGTCCACTCTCCTCCATCTCATAGCCCTCAAGTAGTATTTGCTGGCCAGAAAGGTTTTAATCCAAGCAAAGCCAAAAAAGCCTATTGTTGTCCATTGCGGTCCACACGGCATAGGTGCCTCACGTCCACGCTCCTCGCGCGCCAGTCCTACCCCCGGCACTGCTCAGGTGTTTCACGTCCACGCTCCTCGCGCGTCAGTCCCACCCTACCACTGCTCAGGTGTCTCACGTCCACGCTCCTCGCGCGTCAGTCCCACCCCTACCACTGCTCATGTGGTCTCACGTCCACGCTCCCCGCGCGTCAGTCCTACCCTAGTATTGCTCAGAGGGAGGACTCGCAGCACGCGTCGTATGTGCTGAAAACCAGCAGCGCCGAGGTGTCGGACCATCAGTGCCGAGGTGTCGGACTGGGCCGACCACTCGCTACTCACGTGACGAAACTGTCGGATGGCGCCGTTAATGCGCAGCGAGTCGGCGGCGATCTCGGCGAACTCGCTGCTGCGGCCCGGCTCGTGGCAGTGCAGCTGGCGCAGGCTGGCCGCCGAGCGTGGCTGGTGGCACGAGGTGCACGTCTCCGGCTGGGAATGCTGGCGCACGATCTTGTCGCGACTGCCGCCGCCCGTGGCGCCCAGCGAAGCCGGCAGCGCGCCGCCGCGCGCCCCCACCACCGAGCACACCGAGTCCCGTGAGCCCATGCGGTGGATGTTGATGCAGGAGCAGCGGCGGCGCGCCAGCGCCTGCGGACACAGGTAGGTGCGCCGGCAGTGCAGCTCGATGTCCGGGAAGCTGCGCGCGCCTCCCTCGGGTCCGGCGGCCGGCTCGGCGGACAGTGGCGGCAACGTCAGCAGCGGCACGGCGCGCGCGTCGTCTGGCACCGGTGACTCGGTGGTGATGACGGGTCGCGGCCGCGTCTGCGGCGACTCCTCCGGCGGGATCAGGTTCTCCGTGGAGCTGGCGCGAGCTCCAGGCGACAGGGGCGACATCACCGGGCGATCCATCGCATCACAGCTTCGCGCGTCTGGCACAGAGTTTGATTTTGCGTTTCGGGGCGGGGGAGTGGTGGTTTAGGTGCCCATCGCTGGTTCAGCGGTGAAGGATGCTCCTGAAATGAACCGAAAAAATGTGTGAAAGCATTGCTATATCCGGGCATTGGCGCAATTGAACACTGTTCGAAATATCAAAGCTATAGTTAAATTCAAGATCCATAGATGGCACGACATGGGCTAGCGAGAGAGGCAAGACCGTCTGATGCATGTGTCAATTTTTTCGGGCTTCAAACAACCAATCGAGGAAGTAAAGTAGTGTGAGAAGCACTTGCCATAGAAGATGGAAGAAAAATGAGACCTTTTCCGAGCATGACATAGCAATGAGTGGCTTCTGCATGTCGAGCACGGCAGATCAGCTGCGACACCGAATCGTTATCTTACAGGGCTTCGCGGGCAGTTGCATGCGAACATCTCTCGTCTTCACCGCGCGAGGTTGACGAGTTGAGTTCGAGGTTGAGTTCTCAGCATTGTTTTCATTATCAGTGTCCTTGCATTCCTCATCGGAACAAAGTACTATCGAAGGGGTTTCCACCAAGGCGCTGCATATTGTAGGATGTTCTGTAAACCTTTTCCACTATTGGACGGGTTCTCCCTTTTTAAGTTTCTCTCACATACAGCTATTTCATCACTAGTCACTGTCACCGACCATTCAAAACTTACTGGATGCTATCCTGACAATTCCGCCACCCATGCTCCGCCGGTCACTGTTAGGATATTTACTTGTAAGTCGTAAATAGATCATTAACGGCTGCTCATGACCAACCAACGACCAGTAGCTACTACAACACACCGTTCATGACAGTGGAAGGTTTACTAGCAGCCGTTTCAAAGGCTGACAGCCCAAGCCACCGCTCAGCCGAGCGTCCTCGACTGCTGCTCAAGTACGATTCACTGAACGGGAGTCCCAGGAGAGCCACAGCTCGTGGATACGACCGGGAGCAACTCAGCCCTTCGATGCTGTTTCCTGGCTACTCAGTGTACTCTGTCACCGGATTTGGCACGCAATGCGCTCATCAGATTTAGTGAACCCTTGTGGTGCAGTTCAACAGGATCGGCGACGCACCGGTACTGGCATTTGTTTGCTTGTGCAAATATTATTGGCCTCAATCCCTTTTAAGCCACAGCAGTTGTATTTACGCAGTACACTCTAACCGTGCAATGTACTACGTTGCATGCATAGATACGATCCAGAGCCGCCATATAACATGCAGCAACAGCAAACATAATAAGCCACAAAGTGACACACCCCTAATCACATGTGTGCAACGTAGACGATTCTCATCAAACGCTCACCCAAATATCACTTTGGTGTGCCACTTTCCCGGCAAACTGGACATTTGCGTCTGTCTTCCATGGTTGCGTGGTTGTGCCTAAATATGCGTTCCAAGTGTAGGTCGTGCATGCAGAGATGATGTTTTGCAGAAACACTTGGGTTGTCTCTACCCGATGACGATATTTAGGGATCATGTGCACGTCAGCTAAGTGGTCCCTTCGCGCAAGGGGTGCCCAAGGGCTTATCGGCTTGGGGGCCCTCGTCGGATTAATGCCACATGCTGCTATTTGGACAAAACTAACGTGTACCAGCTCCAAGTCTTGTTCGATTCCTGTGTTGCTATTTGAGGACGCTGCCGTGGAAGGGGTGCGGACACTGGCAAGAGGTCGACACACAGCTTTTGTTCATTGTATTTCTTGGTGGTTGTATGCTGATAAATTTGCTGGCTGTATTTCTGGGAACTTTCGCAAGCACGATGCTTTAGCTGGGCAGGCTAGCTGTCACATTGCTAAAGGTCGGATGCAGGGGTACTACCAAGTTGCAAGTAGGGTTTGGCCACGCACTGAAGGCAGGCTCGGCCGCGAGCTCGCACAGGGAGACACAGGCCATCAACTAAATCCCATTCTACACCTCTGTTTTTGAGATATTGTCAGTATTATATATTCCTCTCTACGCAGTGTGAATAAAGTGAGTACACATATTTGTGCATGCTGCAAACACGAATGGATGGCTCCAGCTTGCATGACTGCTGCTAACTTCAATATGTTAATTATTCTATCGAAGAAGCAGTGTTATGCCTCTCGCCAGCCCAGCTGCAGTCCAGGAAATAAATACTCTCCGTCCCTCGCCAGTCTAGCCACAGTCGACAAACCATCACATGCCCTTCGCTGTTCTGGCTAAGGCCTGCAGACAGCTGCCGCCCGCAGCTGCCGCCCCATCGCTCGTCAACCTGGATGCAGTGTACGGGGGGCTGCAGACGAGCAGACGACAGCAGACGAGATCGTCTACGTGGGCGGAAGAGTGCCATTACACGAAGAAATACTGTTGCTAAGTAAATGGACACCGGAAGAAGGGCCGCGCGGGCCGCTGCACCCGTGCTACCGCGCCAGTACTACCACACGTATACGCTGCGCGCGTGCGCATGCATGTGCATGTGCGTGTGCGTGTGCGTTTGCGCGTGTATGTGTGCGTGTGCGTGTGCGTTCGTGTGTGTATGTGTGTTGCGCGCGTGCGTGTGTGTGTGGCGTGCTATGGGCTCGTGCCACCGACAATGCGTGCGTAAACGCGTGTGTAACTGGCCTCTGGGTTCGTGTTACCGCACCAGGGTCTGTGTGCTCTATATGTTTTATGAAGGAAGGGTCGATGGACACGGGAACAGTGCGGGAGTGGGTCCTTGCTGATACACTGATGGCAACAACCAAGCTATCCTGACCCAATGGCGACACAGTTTTGTTCAGAGTGCAATGCATCACGTCCCCTGACAGAGGAGTGCAGAGCTTGCAGACAAGATTCGGGTTCCACATTCTTGCTGTCCAATAACGACGAAAAGTTGCTCGAGCAGTAACATTCCGCTAAATATTGCAAGCGTATCCGTTTGTTGGATGACAAATGTTTACATGAGGGCCGATTCGTAAAATATGGATTCAAAAACGGCAACCGAACCAGTTCACGCCCTGCAAATCCCAAGGCATCACACTCTTTAGATCGGCACGAACATACTCTTGATAAGCTTACGTTAGGGTGCTGGCGGCAGGGTTTTATTTTTGGTCCACAGGCGTTAGAAGGCTTCCACAGTGCCGCGGGGGAACGCAAAGTGCAGTTTGGTTGGCCTTATGGCCTCGCAGGGTGCCAGTGAGCGGGGGTGAAAAAAGCTTGTGATCTACCGGAAACGATCGGTGACAAAAACTGACACCTTTGCCGACCAACTAGTGGCAAAATTGCAAAAAGGCAAACGAATTTCAATAGACAAGACCATATTACAACTTACTATCCTAGCTAAACGAAACTGAAAGCTTAGTATTGGTCTGTGCTCGTTAACACTTGCAGCGTGAGCATGTGTAGAACACATGTCGAAACGTTGTCGTTTCGCTGTATTAATGAATTGAGCCCCAAGATGCTGCCAAACATAGCAGCCTCAATCAGGACGGCTTTTACCGGGTGCCAGAAATATACAACAAACTACACTATACTAGCGCTGACGTCACAGATCAGCGGTGACATGGTGCTTTTACAATGCCTCTCAGATCAGTGCTTTTCACATATCTTTTTTAGCCAAGATTCACCTCACATAGTAAACAGTATAAGACACCAAATAACTAGGCTTATTACTAGTCGTAAGGGTCGTAGCTGGCCGCAGCATCTTGCGACGAACGTAATCAGTTTGCTATGCAGCGTTTTAAGCGTCGTGCCATTTGAGGCAGAAGGGCTCGAACGGTCACTGCGCGATGATGCGTTGGATTTATTGCAAGGCTGTGGGCTGCTGTTAGTTGTGTTCATGTCATGAGAAGCTGACTGACTAGAAAAACGTATTTAATCGTCAGCTTTTTAATGTAATAGAGTTCAATGCCTTGTCGATCTAGGAGGAGTGTTGCTTGTGGATACCTGAGCTGTAGCTACAGAGGTAAACGGAGGAGATTGGAGCGACGCATGTAAAATATTCACCTAGGGCTTTCTGCTGTTGAGGGTAATAGCGGCTTTGAGCTTAGAGACTGAGCATCACCGTTGTAGTGCTCCCATTTTGCCCGTTGCACCTCTGGCCTAGCGACCTGATCGGTGGACAGGCGTGAGATAAAACGCTTTTTGTTTTCATCCTATTGCATAAAAACCTGAATGATTGTAGAGGTGTTCAAAAACATCATTTGCATCTTTTGATACCAATGTTGCATGGGTTTTGCTCTAAATGATGGCGATCATGTTAGTAAGTGTGAGTTCTGCAACGGTGCTGATTATGCAAAGATAGTGAAGGTCGCCAGCGCGTTCAGTTGATCTTACGATAGCGTCACAAAACGAAAGGTGATATTGCCGTCAGGTGCTTTTAGAGCCATGTTGCCGGTTAATATGGGGCTGTGGGGACGCAGTTTTTCAAAATGCGTAGGCTTGAGGGATGAGGGGGGGGGGCAAGGAAAAACGACTAAATCTGCCTCCAAAATGCACTCAAAACAGTTTTCCTGCAAATTTTACGCACTTCCATTTCACAAATGAGAACAAAGGCGTAGTTCCTCTAAATTAGTTGGGGGGGGGGTATACCATAAAAATTGCGATTCATGAAGAATGATGCTTAAAAATGATAACTAAAAAAGGGAGCTACATCCATGGTTAGTAGGCGCAATCCCCTCCCCCTATCTGAATAGGAAACTACACGCCTCCAAGCTTTTTATGTTGAGTATGCCCTTATCTGATAATTTTATTAGTTAAGTCTCAACCATCATTCAGTGCTTGATGGCCAGCAAATATACCTGATACCTGAGTGCAAATAAGCCCCGAAACAAAAATGTTTGATGGTTATGCTGCATTGCATAAAATTTGTCTTTGTTTTGTGGTTTATTGCATTTAGAGTTATATTGCAACGGTTTCTGAAAGATTCGGCTCCAGGTGATACTTTGGACGATTCCAGATTTCGTCGGCGACAGAAAAGGCACTTAT